ACGCCCGGCTGATTTTTTGATTTATTGTAGAGATGAGGTCTTGCTGCCCAGGCGGGTCTCGAACCCACGGGCTCAGGCAATCCATTCACCTCAGTCTCCCAAAGGCACGGGATTACAGGCTGAGCCACCAAGTCCGGCAATTTTGTTTACTTTTATGTGGTAATCCTTTATTTAGCAAAATCATTTAAGAATTTGAATTGACAGCGTGAGCACGAGGAGGCTACCAATTCCATTTTGTGGCATGGTTGAGCCCGCAGAGCCAACGCTATGAGCAAAGCTCAACCTCCTGAGTTGAAAAAATTTATGGACAAGAAGTTATAATTGAAACTAATGACCAAGAAATATTACAGGGATTTGACCCCTTTATGAATCTTGTGATAGATGAATGTGTGGAGATGGTAACTACTGGACAACAGAACAATATTGGCATGGTGGTAATATGGGGAGATAGTATCATTATGTTAGAAGGCTTGGAATGAGAATAAATGGTTTTTCAGCAGAGAAGTCCATGTCCTTTCTCCAAAGGGCCTGTTTTACTTTGATGTAAAAATCGGGCCAAGTACATTTTCATATTAAACTTTTTGTTAAATAAACTTCTGTAATGGTCAAAAAAAAAAAAAGAATTTGGATCATGCAAGTAAATTAATAAGAGTTTGTAATTTCTTCAAATAAGTAAATTTCCAATACGTGAATTTGCAAAACACTGCTCAGTCACTTTTACAGGTCTATATACAGCATTAGTTATAACAGTTATTCACATTATGATTTCTTTATGTATAATATGATCTGGCTTTAGTAGACTGTTCATTCTTCTCAAGTCCTGAATTCTCAGGTGAAGTATCATTTTTTTTTTTTTTTTTTGCGTTGGAGTCTCACTCTGTCACCCCGACCAGAGTGCAGTGGCCGCTCCTGGCCACCTCACCCTCAACCTGCTGGGCTCAGGCGATCCTTCCGCCTCAGTCTTCCGAGTAGCTGGAACTACGGGCTCACGCTACCACGCCCCGCTAATTTTTGATTTATTGTGGAGATGAGGTCTCGCCAAGTTGCCCAGGCGGGTCTCGAACCCGCGGGCTCAGGTAATCCACTCACCTCAGCCTCCCAAGGCGCGGGATTACAGGCTGAGCCACCGAGTCCGGCTAGTTTTTTAAAATATTTTCCATTCACTGGTTTACAATGTGTGTAAATGTTTGCAGTGTACTTAAGTAAACTATAGTGATTATGCCTGAGGAAATTAATTATTTGTCTGTGCCGATTGACTGAGAAACAGGAAATTTAAAAATGACAAGGGAAAATTCTTTTTTTTTTTGAATTGGAGTCTCACTCAGTCGCCCAGACTGGAGTGCAGTGGCTGCTCCCGGCCACCACAGCCTCGACTTGCTGGGCTCCGGCGATCCTTCCGCCTCAGCCTTCCCAGTAGCTGAAACTACAGGCGCGCGCAACCACGCTCGGCTAATTTTGATTTATTGTAGAGATGAGGTCTCGCCAAGTTGCCCAGGTAGGTCTCGAACCCGCGGGCTCAGGCAATCCATTCACTTCAGCCTCCCAAAGGCGCGGGATTACAGGTTGAGCCACCGAGCCCGGCTGGGAAAATTCTTGAATGGAATTTTTAGTGTAATAAATGCTCTAATAAATAGAATGTAACTATTTTTAGACACCAGCAATTCTTTTTCTTTTTCTTTTTTATTTTTGGAGTTGGAGTCTCACTCCATCACCCAGGCTGGAGTGCAGTGGCACACTCTCGGCCACCCCAGCATTGACCTGCTGGGCTCTGGCAATCCCTCCACCTCAGCCTTCCATGTAGCCGGAACTGCAGGGGCACACTACCACGCCCGGATATTTTTTTGATTTATTGTAGAGATGAGGTCTTGCCAAATTGCCTGGCCTGGTCTTGAACCTGCAGGCTCAGGCAATCCACTCGCCTTGGCCTCCCAAAGTGCTAGGATTACAGGCTGAGCCACCGAGCCCAGCCACTAGCAACTCTTAATAAACACAGAGTCATAGGTCCCATGCTACTGCATTATAGGTCCTAAGCTACAAATTAAGAGCTGTAGGAACTAGAAGCGGTTTAGGTCTTGAGGATGAGTGGATTGGGAAGAAGACAGGAGGAAAGGAGTTCAATGCCTCTGCAGTTTTGAACTTGATATCTATTACATGCTCTACTGTCTATCCCTCAGCCTAAACAAAAACAGCCAAATTATGGGCTGGTCTCGGAAGCCTGGGGTTTTATGAGGATTATGAGAGATAACATCTTGATCTGAGTCTCTAGAAGCAGAACTTGGAGTTTCTTGGGCAAGGGATTTATGGATGGAGTGCTCTCAGGAGAAGGGGAGTGAAAGGATGGGGCAGGGAAAACAGTTCAGCAAATATTGCAGGGGTGGAGCTCGGGAGCTACAAGGGTGCAACACAGTAGTCCCTCATGGAAGCTAGGAGTTGGGCTTTTGGCTTCTCATCAGTCAGTTGCTGACTGATAGCTATGAGGAAATGGGGCCTGAGGGGAATTAACCTCGTAAGAAGGTGACCCCTTGAGGTCCAGGCCAACACTCCAGAGCAGGGGCAGCTGAGGTGTTTTGCAACAGTTGGCAAAAGGGCAGCAAGGCCACCGCAGCAGCAACCCCTGTAGGTGGTGACTATTTATGATTATTGCCTATTTCACCATGATCCTAAGGTCGAGAAAATAATCTGTGTGTCATCACGTGAGCTGGTAGCATGACGGGGCAGAGTTGAGGACAGCAGGAAGAGGAGATGATTATGAGTGGCAAAGCCTGCATTTTGTGAGTGAGTAGCGAAACGTGGGAGTGAAAGAACAAGTTGCGTGCAGGTGGGAAGCAGAAGAGAAGTGAGAGGGAAACACCCTACTGTTGCACTTAAAGACTGCGGCAGGTAGGGAGCACTGGCAGGCCCTGGCAAGGCAGGGAAGGGTGGTGAGCTTGGCTAGGTAGCTGAGCACCAGGGCTTTCAGTTCCACCTGCACAAACACAGCTGGAAAAGGTTGCTCCTGGCGTCCACCTGCCCCTGAAGCCCCGCCTCTGCCCCGTCAGAGCACAGTCCTCTTTTAGCTTTTATCAGCCTTTCAAATGACTCTCCCATCCACCACTTTCTGCATAAAGTGAAAAGGCACATGAAAAGGATTTAGGCTTGGTAATATATAATGCTCTTCTACTTTTTCTAATCTGTTTAAAGGATTAGTAAAACAAGTAAATCCCCTCAGACATAAATGCTCAAATTCTTTAGGATTCTTTGATGCACTTTTTAATTAACTAGGGAATGCAACTGCAGGGTACTTGAGTGTATAAAGCAGTCATTACACAACTTAAATTGCACGAATAAAAAAGTATATAGTATTTTACCTGTAACATATGAAACGCACAATAAAAGCAATATTCCCAAAGGAAATCCAGCTTGCTTCATTGAATAAGGCAATCCTGGAAAAACATAAGATGCCCCATCCCTTCTGTTAATAAGATAGCTAGAAATACACAAGTTCTCCCCAATCTCTGAATATAATAGGTAGTCAGTTTACATACACAGATATGTAAATTGTTATATTTGCATGCTATGTTTGTAAGCTATGCATAAGACAGTACTAAGATTAAATGTTAGCATATAAATACATATTTCAGAATAAAATGTTATTAAGTTAGGGACAAGTCAAGAGAACAAGTTTTTGAGGTGATGGAATAAGAATTAGAAAGCAGCAGATAAAAAATAGATGCCAGTTCACACAAATAATCCTTACTTCAGGGTAAGGGTGACATATGCCCTAGAATATGTGGAGAGTAATGTCTCCAAGCCCTTCCTTATGAGCTGTTCAGGGAAGCAGAGAATAAGAAGGAGCATAGAAGGTTTGTGGAATACAAGAAAGACCTACTTTGGAGCAAAGTACTAAGAAATACCTACTTTGGGGCAAAATGGGGCAACCATGCAGGAAAAAGAAGAGAAAAATCAGAAAGCAAGAATACTTTTTTTTTTTTAAGGCTGAAGGGGGTATACAAAATTATTTCTTATGATTTTGGAGGAAATGGACAATTTTAGGTTATGGGCAATAAAATATTTAAATAAACATAGGTAAAATATTTGAGAAGAACATTTTTATTCTCAAAAAAGTTTCCCTGTTAAAAAAGAAACCCAAGTTATTGAGCATAATTAAGTTTTACTTTTTAATGTTGCTGACATGAATCAGCTTAAAGTATTCACATCAGGAGTTAGCTCTAGAATTCTTCCAAGCAGAGCTGCCCACACCTGCATAGTACACGGAGGCAGAATTTTAAACCAGTCTTTACCCCTGCTTGCTTTTACTTCACCTCACATAACTCCATTTTATGCCTCATTTAAAAAATAAAAGTCTATATATGGAAAAATGTAAAATCAAGAAGCATGCCAACTTATGAAAAGTAAGAAAACTAACTCTAGATAAATGTTCAATTCTCAGAAGATGATGACTGAGACTAAAATGGCAAAATTTGTTAGTAAAACATTATGTTCTCAATGAGTACTGCAGTTTGCAGAATTGTGTTTTGGCCTCGCCTTTTCTGAAATGGAATGTTTCAAATAACAAAAGGGGTAATAATCCCTGAAAATATAACTGCTTTTATCATAATGAAATGCACTTTAAATTTTTTTAAGAATTTCCCTTTGCTTTTAAAACATTAACAAATATGAGTTACTTATTTCTTTTAGTTCTGATTGTTTAGCTCTTTTGTTATAAAAATCATATGCATATTCAATGAACAAATTTGTATTATGATTGAATGATATTTCAAATTAATATAGCATAAGTTTGTACTTGAACATGTATAGATAGGTAAGAAAATATTGTATGAATTTAATTTTTTACAAGATTGGTGTGTTTTCATATTAAGCTTTTGCACCTCCAATATCTTCAAATATCTGGAGAATTTATACTTCTAGAATGTCACAGAAAGATGATTCAAATAACGGTGGACACTTCAGTAAGAGGGGGGAAAAAATTCAGTTCAGTAACACTAGCAATTGACCAGGCAGCCTATGAAAAATTGGATTCAGCATCACCCTCATGCTTAAGATACAGCTTAAGCTACACCTGTGGAGGATGCGCTTCACAGTGGAAGAGTGTGGATTACAATCCCATCTTCAGCATAACAGAGATTGATGCATATTGTTACCTTGGGAAAAACAGGAAAGCTTTTATGGTAGATTACCAATGTTCTCATTTAAAATTTCTTCCCTTGAAATATACAATGAACACTAGCAGCATAGTGAGTTCTAAATTTTGCCTTTTCACTTAAAATGAAAAACATAACAAAACACAGCACTTACCTATGATACCAGATCCTATAATTGAGTTGACAATATTAAAAAGAGCAGTAGACTGACAGGTTTTCTCTTTATACGCATGTTCAGAAACAAGGGTCTCTCTGTCATCTAGATCGCTCTATTTTAATAGATAGAATGGCAATTAAACACATGTTTACTAATTCAAAAAATTAGAAAAATGGCAGACAAATGCGCAGTGCAGGATAACACGATATTAATAGTAATAATAAATAATGTCAATAATAATAAAATAATGCTAATAAATAATAATAAAGAATAACAGTCATAGCTAATAATGTAACAGGGCTTTGTAAGCAAACTCCATCCTTCAAAATGTCCAGACTGCAGCTGTCCCAACTGCTGAGTACAAGATCTGTTAGGAGCTTAATGATGTGATTTTGTGAAATTAAAACGTTGTACTGAAAAGTGCCTGCCAAGAAAAAAAAAAAAGTCAGATTAAAGCAAAACTTTTTCTCCCAGAAAACTTTCCGCGATGCTAAACCAAGACCGCATAGGAAGGCAGCTGACCTGTTGCAAGGTGAACGACACTTCAGGGGAATCGGCTTTAGAGTCTGTCCTGGTCGCTAGTTTTACCTGCGGCGGGAGGACGGGCTGTTGTCCCTGGTAGCCCATGGCTGCGCGGTGGTCTTGAGCCGGCGGAAGATTCTGGGGCTGGGCCCCTGGCTGTCACCTGCCGGCCTCCCCGCCACCTCGCACACTTCCGACGTCCGCGTGTGGCCAGAGAGCTGGAGGAAGCCAGATCCG